GTGAAGATTGCATTGGGGAGTTTTTAGAGAGTCCATAGTTGCTTGAACAATCCAATGATAATTAAAAAAAAATTAAAATATAAAATTTTTCATTCTAAAATATGACATAAAAATATTATTTTATTTATGCAGTTATTTGTACTAAACATTTAAAATTTTTATGGAATGGAAACCACTAACTACAAAACTTTATCTTAATGCGAAAGGGGAAGCCATATGTTGCTTAAAAACAGCTGAAAAGTCAATGAAGTGATTTCAAAGTCAATCGTAAAAAATAATTCTCATACAGTTTAATTCAATTAATTAATTAAAATATATGTGAAAAATACATGTGAAAATTTTATTAGAGTACTTTCAAAAGGTCCTAAGCGATCAATGATATTTAAATATTTTGTTTAATATTTATTAAAAGTTCCAATAAAAAAAAAATTTCCAATCTAAAATGTGAGATGAAAATATAATTTTATTTTTGTAGTAATATTGCTAAATATAAAAATATATCATGTCAAAACAGAGCGTAAAAAGTTTATATAATCAACTAAATTATTAAAACAGAATGACTTTAAAGTCAATCGAAAAAAGCAATTCTCATACAGTTTAATTAATTTGCACTATATTTTCTATATCATTAAAATTGAAACAAATGATTTATCTAGATGTTTTAATATATATGAAGATTGCATTGGAGTGTTTGAGGGGAGTCTGAAGTTGCTCAATCGAGCGGTCAATGATGTATTTATATATCAAATAATAATTGTAAAGCAGCAGCCTATGTCTGCTGAGAAAAACGAGTTTACTTAAAAATATAAAAGACGTTAGTTGACTAAAGTAATTATGTATAAAAACACCTCTGTAACGACAAACTGGGTTTTTATTTTCATAGTACAAGCAATATCTTTAATGCATATAATAAGAATATCGGATTTTGATACCACAGTGAACAACACAGTAAAAACGCTAGCTGACTGAAAGGGTATTATATAGAGGTGTCTGAAGTCTGGACTAGGAGTACACTGTAATGTTTTGATTAAACAGATAAATGTAATTTTAACGTTAGTTATGACGGCAGTGACAATTTAACTTAATAGAAACTATTGCGTTTTGTTAGGGGAATTTCGAAAACTAGTTGTTGTTATTGTTGAGGTTTGAGGGGCTTATCCCTGCCCCACAATAAGCTTTAACTATACTAAAATTATTATCATTTAATTATCATTTAACTGATGACGGACCGTAGATCAGCATATCTTCCTGTGTGTCCTGAGGTGGACTTAAGGTTTGCTAGGGCGGAGTTGGACAACGTATCGACATTTGTGAATAATTTTAGGGCTCTGTCCTTGATATGTTTTTTGACTGTGTCGATCTTTAGATCTCTATGCATGTCTGTTGTTCTAATATAGCAAGGAATCTTAATTAGTCTTCTTAAAGTTTCCAGTATCGCCAAATACCCATCATCAGTGGTCTTTGTTATATATAATTATTCGTAAATAATTTTTTTTTATTACAAATAATCTTGCCAAATTTGAAGCTCAGAGTCAACGTTCATTAGCCAAGTAACCCAAGTAGTTCACTTTCTAGATCTAAGTAACATATATAAAATTTCTTAAAATTATTAAGCGATAATTAAGAATATAATATAAAATCAATTTTAATTCTAATAATCGAAATATATAGATTCAGGTAAATATATTTCTAAAGCCGTACATCGTGTCCCATATTGACAGGGAAGTTGAAAATGATTAATAATAGCACATATTTGAAGTATCAGTCTTAGTTAATGTTTGCTATGGAGCAAACATTTTATTGTAAACATAAATTATAATAAATAATATACCTGTGTCAGGCTTACGCGATTAAATTGAAGAGATAGGATTAATGATCGCATTCAGTAAATAAATGCCGGCATATAAAATTAACAATGTAATAAAATGATATATATATGTATGTCCTATGTCGCATACAAAACAAAAAGTTCTTGGAGGAATTTGAAAAACTGAAAAATTAAATTTCATAAAACATGAATTTCATGACGTCACAATTTAGTTGTACAGTTAAGCTTTTGTGATTTGCTCTCTGAGGACGTATACAGTTGTTTATTCACATGGAAAACCTTGGTTATTGGTTATTGAACGGTGATCTAACAGCCAAATTTCAAAAATTTAGTTGACAAATATCAAACATAGCTTGTTCATATATATATACATTGATATTTCTCATAACCGGACACTCATCGTCGCAGTGTTTTTGTTCGGTTATGGCAGATATCCATTTATAAGAAGGAGCACAAAAATTATGTTTAAATTGCACTTAAATGATCATTTGAATTTTTTTTTATTATATTTAAACAAAAATTTAAATTAACAACAACTAGTCATATCGACTAACAAGAGGTTTTTTAATTAATATTACAAGTAAGTTTACTTATCTAAGGTGAGCATATAGATCTGAGCTAATCATCTCCTTGCTGGTTGAAAAGCCTCAAAAGGTCATTTGGTTTGAAGCGGCATAAGCGTCTGTGTGTGCCATCGCAAAGTAACGCCGGAATGGTGCTGATTAAGTGTTGACTCAGCCTGTCATAATGTGTTTTAGCAGCCTTCTGCATTTTTTGCTTGACAGTTAGTATTTCAAGGTCACGGTGTAGATCAGCATTTCGCACATACCGCAGAGCGTTAACTGCATCCCTGAAGGTTTTGTTTTGGAACCTTTGCGTTACATCTATTATATGTTTTTTTACACAACCCCAAATTTGGACACCATAGAGCAATACCGGCTTGAAGACTTGTTTGTAAATCATAACTTTGTTTTGCTGAGATACTTTAGATCTCCTTCCAATAAACCAAGTTAACTTCTTATATCTTATATTTAGCTCAGTTAATTTTTTCTTGACGTGTACCTACCTTCCTGGAATTTTTACGCTATTTAGAAATAATGAAATTTGATTTTTCTCTTTTGTTAGTAAAGTCTATGTGGTTAGATTTTGAACTATTTACTGTCAGTTTCCATTAATTTGGAAACTTCCTTCTGGAAATTTAGTATAGAATAAGACTTTCATATATTTTTGAAAATTGAAATTCAAGGCGGATGCAATTTTTGGATTTAAGTGTGAGAGTTTTGTCAGGTAGTCCTCTTTCTGAAATATTTTGATCGAAGTAATTTGTAAATTATATGAAATAAATTATTGGTGACTCAAATTAAACATTTTTAACACAAGAAATAGCATTTCTATTAAGGAGGACTGCAGATTTTTGAAAAACTTGTTCTGTATTTTTCTGAATTTTATCCGTTTATGAGAGATTTTTTGACCAAATTAGTTTAAAATGTAGTGTCCGCGTCGTGTTATTAAAGCGTCCTTTATGAGGAATTGCACTGTATTAAATATCTGTGATACTATATTGCTTAGAATCATACTACACATTTTTTTTGTAAAATTAGACATTGTAAATTAGACAAATACTAATTGTTTAAATAAAATAATAGCTATTGTCTATATAACATTTCAAGAACAATATATTATGGTTTTCAAAATAATTAGATCTGAGGTCAATTATTGCTTAGCTTCATGAAGTGATAAACAATAATCCAATAAAGGCGTAGAGACGGTTAACCTCGCAGTTAAAAGAGAATAAAAGTGCTCAAATGCACTGACTCAACCTGCCTCAACATAATAATATATATTTTATATATTTTTAAATGTAATTTTAAAAAAAAACTAATTTAGTATTTACCTATTTTTATTAAATTCTATAAATTATTCTAAATTACTTTTCCTATAATCAAATATATACTATAATTTTTATATTTACTGCCATAATGTTCTAACTGCGTCAACAAAAATATTGCATACTCTCAGGCGCCAACTTGCTATAAAACCCATAAAATCTATTTTTAGCATCTCAGCAGACTGACATTTACTTCATTCCATTTCTCCATTCTTACTCACAACACATTACTTGCGTATGAAAAGCCGTATTGTGAGTAAAAATCGTAGTAAAAAAAATCATTCATTGTCTCAATTTGTGGAATGTATTCTTTGCTGGTTTTTTCTGTTGTTAAATTGATTATTTCATAACAAAATAAGTTACACATCCACATCGTAACATAAAGTAATAAATGATAAATAATGTACTACTCTATGTTATAAATGTAAATACTGAATTAATTCGTTCGAAAATTAAGCTGGCTATAAAGGTAAGAAGGAAAAGCTATCCTTCATTAATACGAATTTTTTAAATCACGATTGTAGTTTTGTAATATATATAGTAAGACGCATCTGAGAATTGGCAAATAAAATGAAGTAGAAACGAAGAACATAATTTAAAATAAATAATATTTCGTAATAACTTTGAGTAACATTGTGTATACACAAATGCGTTCCGCCAGCAAATTTACGAGTAAATGAGAGTATTTAAGAAAGCTTAACATCCATGACGAAACTTGAAAATGCTACACAGACTTTACTCGACTTTTACTTTACATATTATTTCAAGTAAAATTTGTGTTAAAGTGTGAATCAGCTGTTTTGTTTTGAATTTAAAGTTTTGTATTGTTTATTTGCGCGGTACTCGTGTTCTTATCAGACTTGTTCCATGACAATCTGTGTAAAGAGCGTAATTTGACAGTTTATTTGTGTTACGCTCTCAGTTAGTACCTTTCTTGTGTTTTATTTGAGTTTTACTACGAGTAGCTCGTGGAACAGATCTAATATAACTTATTATTCGTGAAGTACATAAAAAAAAATTTTTTTGTGTCTTATGGTAGATTTACACGCGAATTCTGTTTGTAATTTTGGATGTCAAAAATTTTAATTTTTTATTGAAAGCAACAACAATTAACAGTAGAAATTACAAACAGAACTCTAGGGTTCCCTTTTGTGTGTAACTTCGTTCAACACACATTTCGTACTTTCGTACTTTTTACGGCGTTAAAAGTATTACGCGGCGTGGACTTTTCATTGTCGATTATTAATTTTGTGGACTCCAAGTTCTCAGCTGATGACGATGTTGAAAAGGAAGGTGCAATAGTAGCGGCACACAAAAAAATTGTACAACTTTTGTCCTTCGTGCACAGTAAGAAAAAATATGGAGAAACTGTGGACAAAATTATATAAAAAAATATAAAACAATAATATTTACATAAAATGTGAAAAAAGTAGAAGTGCATAATGTATAAAAAATAAGCCACTAATCAAAAGTTCTAACTATTAAATAGAAAAAAAGATGTAAGATAATGATTTGTAAAAAGGAAGAAAAGGAAAATAGTGGAGAGAAGGTGTAGTAACATAGAGTAGTGGCGTAAAATTACAATTAAATAGTAAAAGGTAGTAGACGTGTAATAAGAGAAATCGTGAATATATTTTATTTGTTTAGTGATTGAAATACAATATTTAAAATCGAAAATATTTATTTTTGCCGGCACAATAAAATTACGAAAATTAGGAACTTTGCTCATGTAAAAATAAACTCTTAAAGAAATTGTTTTGACTATATGTGTGCCGTGTATTGATGGGATGAGGCATTGATCTTTCACAATGTTGTGAACCGTGCAATGTAAAGACACTAAAAACTAATCGGATTTTTACACAAAAATAGAAGAAAAAAGTGGCATGTTTATTGTTAACAGTGGCAGCAGCATTAAAAAAACTACTCCATAATGCTTGTCGCTACGCCGGCACAGTCTGCCTCATATGCACTGAGCGCTGCTACCAAGAAAATATGTCACAACAACGCAACCGCCACACCGAAGGGTTCCTGTGGCAAGAACAGCAACAATGGGAGCAGCAACAACAATATCAATGTGCTCAAAACTACACCCAGAGCGATTGTCAACAAATTAATAGAGTCTTCCAATAATACCAACTTTATAAAGACACTATCGGTTCGCCTAAATCGTGGAACTGAACTATTGAAAGACGCTGTGCAAAAGACTCTAAAAGCAACATCGAATGTAACCAATGCAAGTGCTAGCGCAAATCCGAATCTGATAAATAACACCACCAACAACACTACATACTCAACACAAATTACCACTTCGACCTCATCTAATCGACCTGTACCATCAGCTGCTTTTCTAAAGAAATACACCGTCCCGCCCACCGAGTTACATAAACATCCCAAGGAGCGACTGCAAACTGCTAGCGTTGATAGTTTACATAAAGAATTGTGCCATTTCATTCCCATACGAGCAGTACCCCCAACACATTGGAAAAGGTAAACAACACCTAATATATTATTTAATTAATTTTTTAAATATATTAATATATATATATTGATATATATATATAAATATTAAAATTGTATTTACATTTTAAAGTCATACCAAATCACGTGGAAATGGAGTTATTAAGCCGAAGATGCGTAAGGGAATAAAAATTTTTTTGAATTTAAACTGTGATGATCCTTTGGCTGAAAGCACAAAAATCAAGGAAAGTAGCAATGCTGAAGCAACAAAGATCTACATACCAAAGCCAAGGTAAATATGTGTGTATATTGATATAAACTAAAATGATGTTAAACTATAAAATTAAAATCTTTAAATCCTATTCATTTAGCAATCTTAAAATATGTATTTCAGTAATTGCAAATAGATTAAGATAAGATAATGTGAATTAAGCATTTCTGAGTCCTTCATTAGTTACACTTATTAATCCCATTAAAAATATAATAGGAATGTTAATTAAGACTATATTGTTTTCTCTAATCGAATATGTAGATACTGCAGTAATAATACTGTAAGTATTAAAGGAGAATATAAGTTTCCGATATAGATAAATAGGTCTAAACAGTTGCAGTATTCTAATATGAAAGACAAGATACCATAAAAAATCCAATAAGAATATTGTTTCTGCAGAAAGAAATAATCTTTAAAAAGGATTATAAACTTTTTGTACGAATGCCTAGGTTTGACTAGTTCAAGTATTCAAATATGAAAGTAAAGATAATGTGGGTTAAGCATTGAATCTAATAGAATCTAATAAAAATCTAATAGAAAAGTTAGCTAAAATTATATTAGGGGTATTCAGGCAACTGATTAGTTGCTTAGTTGATTCAAAAACTTCATATAAAAAAAATTTATCATTTTGATGTTAATCAGTTGCTTGAACGACCAAAAATGCGTAATCTGATTAGTTTGTTGTGTGTAAATGCCTTGGCAGCACTCGCATCAACAGCAAAAGCGAAACATACGTTAACAGTGAAAATTGTTTACACACAATTCAAACAGCTGAGAGAGATAGCTAACAAATTTCTATACAAAAGCTCATTTTAAGTTATTATTACGACACTTGGGACTGGCAGCACTATTAATTAAATTTGTACTAATCTGAGAATCACCGAAATAGTTGATAGTTTCATTTTTCTGTGCAAATTTTTGTTGTAATCAACTACTAAGCAACTAATCAGTTGCCTGAATACCCCTATTGTTTCCATTTTAATCAAAATTATAGATGCTGCAGGTAGTAGGCACGGCCTAAGCCCAGTAACAAATGTAAAAACTAATTGAATATTGGTCGTAATAACAATTTATTAGGCATTAAAATGATTAACAACTTTCTGTACGGATGCCTAGGTTTGGACAGTTCAAGTATACGAATATGAAATACATCCTAAAGATAAATCTTGAAAAAATAATCTAACCAAGGAAACAATTGCATAGATAGTATTTAAAAAAGTTATTGAATTTTGTCTTTGCATATGTGGCAGTAAAATGAAACAGAAAAGTAACGACTAACCCCACCAAAACCAACCCACCAAGAATGTTACAGAAGGTAATGCAATGTTTAGGCTATTGTACTTAATTCGATTAATATGCAGTAATATGTGCTATAATGTTCAAGCAAAATCCACATAAAAAAATGACTCGATAGGTCTAGATTTGTATCTCAATGGTATTACAATAAAACAAAATATATTTTCAGAAAGCGTGAAAAAGCAATCAATTAATCAAAATATTTAAGAATAAAAAAAAACTATTTTATCAAAAAAATAAATAAAATTCATTGTACACATTCTCTACTCATTTTGGGAAAACTTGTCATTATTTACTTACTGAAATTAAGTTTTAGCAAGATGTCCCTGATTTCATTCCTTAAAAATTTTCTTTTCTTTTAATAATTTTTTATCTTAATGCGCTTAAAAATTTGATTAGTTGCATAAAACAAAACATTACGAAAGAACATTACCTTGAAAATTAATGGAATATTTGATAATACTTTTTTAACCATAATTCACTATAGTCTTTCATTTATATAAGAACATAGAGCATTACTTCATAGGACGAAAATGAACTAATATTCAAATTTAAATTTTTTTTCAGTTTTTGTGTGCTTTTTGAATTTTTTTCCACATAATTCTATTCCAGCCTTTTGCCAGCCTTCCAGATTTACTACAAACCTGAGTTTCATTTTAGGACTTATCATTTTTCTTTTTTATAAGAACATAACAAATATATTCTCACTTACTTGCTGAATTTTATAATATTTATCTATATACTTATTTTTATTTTACAATGGATTGAGTTTATGTAGAAAATAAAGCATCAAATTTAAAAATGTTTAATTCACAAAAAAGTGTTTCAAGCTAGATTACTATTTTTGAGATATAGAGATTTTTATAGTTGACGATTTATTAATATAGGGATACTCTATATCTCGGTAAGTATTCAAAATGTAGCCCATTTCTCTGCTTAGAAACGATTTGTTTTTATTTTTTGGATCAATAATTCAACTTCTGATACTGAAAAGGATTTATTTAATTTGTTGGAATATGATCATACAATTCACATCCTTTCGATCTCATTTCGACATTCTCAGCTATCAAACCATAATGATCGATAGCGATAGTTCTCATATAATGACAGTTTTAACTATATTCCAAATATCTCTGGTATAGATATATGGTAAAGCAATATATTTAATGTATAGCAAATCATTGTATGCAAAAATGAAATAAGCATACCAGTATATAAGCATATATTATATATATCTATGTATAGGTATATCTATACACTATATAGCTTCATTTCAGGACGAGCTTGATCCAAGCAAAAAAAACTTTGCTTAGGCAAATATACATATACTCTTACCAAGGTTCGGTTTTTGTCACAGAAAGAAAGCAGATTTAGGTAAAATAAAATTTGTCATTTATTTTAATATTCCATAAGATTTCCATAGACAGAAAACAAAGATCAATTGACCCCCTTAAACATAAATAAGTTTTCTTATGTCTAGTGATATTCGTCTATTGCGATGGAAAAACAGAAAATGTCGATGAAGCTTTGCATTACAAAAACTGATACCTTAATTTATCATATTAAATTTAAATCAATTACTTATTTAAGTTTTTAGGTTAGAGATGGGATTAGTTTATTTTATTTAAATGGATATAAAAAAGATTATATGAATTATATAATTACCATCTTTAACAATAACTTTTTTTTTACAGTTTAGTAACGTTTAAAACAAGCCTACAGTCAGCATTCGTATCTAAGATGACGCGATCCAAAAAAATTACTAAACCTTGGCCTAATCGTGCCAAAGCTATTGATACCTTACGTAAGACTAGAAATAATAACAAAGCAGAACAAAGAACGCCTACATCGTCCTATGCGGGAACTTCACGAGTAAATACAAGGGTAAAAAAAATACTTCTAGAAAGCGTTAACTTTGTCGAAAATATGGACGACGTATTGCTGGTAACGAAAAATACCTCTCAACCAACACGTAAGAGAGCAGCTAAAATAATTCCTCCTATGGCTGAAAAGTTATTTAAACAAAATAGACCTAATCGCAAAGAAGTGCAAACAAAAACCAAAGCAAGAAGAAGAGCTAATATAAAAGACCCTATTTCTTCTTTGCCAACGCCTAGAAAGAGAAACAAACCAAAACACGTCCAAGTTATTGGGCGAACCAGAAGCGTTAAACGTAAATTAGTTGAAGCAACTGAAGTAGAGCAAAATGAAAATGTAGAAATTCGTGCTCCAGCACGAAAGAGACAAAAACGTGCTGCTGATTCGAATACTGTGCAGCAATGTTATACTGGCTCAAAACAGAAAAGAAAGATTGCTAAAAATAACTCTAAAGCTCAATTGGAAAAAGTACGCAACACTCCTCCATTGACCAGAGCACGGCGACGAATGATGCCCGAGGAAAAATTATGGGAATTTGTTGACACGCCGAAAAAACGTTGAGCTGTAAATCTCAACGTTTATAGAAGGTTAACTAAATTTAATTTCATAAAATTTACATAGTTATTGATGTTTTAAACAGACTTAGGGCCATGTTATGTAGAGTATCTCGGGCACACGGCGTGAGTAAAATTGTTGTTGTTTTCAATGCAAATTATAAAATTGAGAGTGAGAGAAAAAACAATACGTCGGTTCAAGTTTCGGCATGAGAGCCGGGTTGTTTGTGCCTCGGCAGTTGGGCAAAGCAGTGTTGTTTAGTAATAAACTTCAGAATTTTCAAAATTTGCGCCTTTTAGGAGCAAATTACTACACTTTTAATACGTTTTGGAAAAAAAAATGCCAGTAAGCAACACAGCTTTTTTATAAACTGCTAATAATTTAATTATTACACCTTCCGATTTTAAGGAAAGGCGTATAATTTTGTAAGTACTGTTAACAATTATTATAAGAAAATAAAAAAATTTCCTTTCAAATTTAGGCACAATCAAAAAGTACCAAAACATTGCAAAAATACAAAATTGGCAACACTGGTGTGACAGTCTATATAACATAACTGATTTTCGCCATAGCCCGAAAGAGCCAATATTGTCGAGCCCGAAACACTCTACATGACATGACTATTACGCAAAATTTAAAATCTGAAAAAAAACCAACCATAACATTCAAAAGAACAAAACATCTGAAAAAATCTTAAAAAAAAAGTGATCTAAAATCGACTTTAAATAATGCTTATGCTAAGAATATAGAATTTTTCATTTTAGCCAATTTTTATAATAAACAAAACTGAGATTATATAATGAAGAATATTTTACGTGGGTATTTTAAACTGAAAAGTAACACACAACATAGTTACATGAAATACCAAGTCGAAACATGTTAACCAATCAAAGTACTCCAAAAAAATCAATTCATATATATTCCTTCAAATATTAAAGCTAAAAATAAGTCGAGCACTACTATATTAATACGTCAATAGCTGTAAATAACTTTCTGGTTCCCGTTATTCTAAAGTTAACAAAAGCAATTTACATGTAATTTAAAATCGATTTTCCCTTTGTGGGGGCATACGACCAACGTTGAGAAACACTGCTTTAAGCAATTCTTCAGTTCCAAATATGGTTTATTCCGTTTTCACCTCTAGTTCAGAATTTGTAAAATCAATAAAAGGCCGTTTCTTATTTAAGCATATCACAAAAGAACAACTGCTTATTTTAAAAAGAACATATGAAACAACAACACTGCTGGCTTATTTAGTCCAACCTTTTTGAAATCGTTTAACTAATAAACAGCTTAAATGGCATGGTTGCCAAGATTAAAAATTCGTCCATTGTGAACAATTTTTGGAAGTACATACGAAATTTCCAGTTAACAGGCAACGAATGATTTCGTTAATTATTCGTATTTCGTGTCGTCATTGTTCGTGACAAATACACGTTTTCTATTTATTATTTTACTGTTAAAATGCATGAAAATTCATGTTTTATTCACAATCATGTAAAAAAAAAATATTCTTACTAATAATTTTAACTTTAAATTTTGTTACGTGTTTAATAGTCTAACGAAATCTTCATTTTGTTCAGAGTTGAAATCGAAAATAGTGCTTATTTTATTTGTTCTTTTGTAACATGCTTAGAAAAGAAAAGGCCTAATATTAAATTGATTTTTAACGAAAGAAACTAAATTCTTAATATGAACTATTGCTTTCATTAGAGTTGTTTATATTAAACAGTAGTGAAATTGTAATAACAAACATTATTATTATTTTTAATTAATTATAATTTTGGCTGACCATACAGCTATTTCGAGTATTGCCAAATACTTATCATCAGTGGTCTTGGAATTATTTCTTATATTTAAAATCAATAATTTAATTCGTGTTTCGGTTCGACTACATTAAAAAGTCAAAAGTTTCGCTTTAAAACCAATTCAATGCCGAACCGAGCCGATACTGTCGCAATGAATTGAAGTATTTGGGAATAAAAACATTGTAATGAAAAAAAAAATGAATTATATTATTATCCCAAATTATGTGTGATTTTGATTGGTTTTACATCTCAGACAAATTATTTCATCCCGAAAATATTAATAATGCTTCAACATTTTATATAAGAGAATTTTTATACTGCTTTCAAATCTTTTAAGTAAGTAATTACGAATATTCGTATATGTGTATACATATAGATATTTTATTTATTATAACCTTTATGTAACTATAATCTTTAAAAACAGAACTTTCAGAAACATAAGCTTTAAAAGAAATATTAATAGAGATCAACTCATTAATTGCCAATATTCTCTATTTCTTCACAGTAGCTTTAACAATTATTTTGCAATTTAATTATACAAATTTAATTTAAATATTACAAACATTAATTGTTAATTTTTTTAATTTCTATTTCATTTTATTCGAATTTATTTCATATTCTTCTTACATGTATATATTTTTTTATTTTGTATTTTAGATTGTGACTCTGCCTTAAACAAATTGCTTCTATACATTTCCATTTAATATAATTAATATTTAAAATTTATGAATCTCTAATATAAAATTATTTAATATTATTTAAATTTATTTTCTTCTGTAATAATTGTATACCTTAAGGATTGTGCATGTTATTATTATATTATATATATTATGTGTATTTATTAGATCTAAAGTTTCTAGTTTAATAATAGTTTATAGTTTCAATAATAACATGTCAACTATATTTTTTTTTTGTAATTATAAAGTAAGGGATAAGAATAGTTACTCTACTATTCTTTAAAAATGATAAATAATAACACAGAAAAACAATAAATAATAAAGTATCTAATAATAGATAGTTCTCCACCAACAAAAAAGTTTGGAAATTTACGATAGTTCAGTTTTAATATCATACGGTACAATATCCAGTACATATAATGCACGTCCCTCAAAAATAAATACTAAAACTAATAGTCTAAACTTTATTTCTATATTTTAAAATAAATGAAACGTTAGCTCTTCCCACTTCTTGATAATATTAATCAGTAAATTTCTAATTGCAATTTTAAATATAAAATAATAGACTATAACTAGTATATAGCATTCAAGTAATGCATTTGTAATAATTCCATTTATTGTAAAAATTCACAGTTTTGTATCTTATACAAACTACAAAATATTTTTTCCTTCTAATGTTAGTATCTAACACATGTTGACAAAATGAATTTGGAGAACTAACTGGATATTGAGTTTCTGTCCTGACTCTACATCACATTAAAAATGTGAACGAATTGAAAAGTATCCGGAAATAGATTTTTGTCAATATCTTTTTAATATGTTATTAATGTATTAATATCTAGATAATACAATAATATATGGAAACTAAAACTTCGATATAAAATTCACATTACGTGTTCGTCTTCTATATATATATGTACTCTATGACTTCTACAAAATTCAGAAATATATTATTAACATTTTTTTAATTCAAGTTTTTTTTTCGCGGTTTTTGTTTTTTGTTTGTATAATAATATTTCTTATATTATTTTATTTAATTTTACAAAAATAGTCAATAATTGCGTGTAGTCAATTTTAAAATTATGTCATTTTGTTCTTATTAAGATTTCTATATTGTTTGATTATGTACTCGTATTTTTTTTTATTTTATTTTATGTTATTATTTTCCTTCATTTTTTTAAAATAATTTCTTATAAAAAACATTTTTTACATATAATTTATGCTTGTATTCAAATTTAAAATAATTTTCATTTGCTTATACATTAGTAGTTTTTATGTAACTATTTCAAACATAAATTTGTCAATATTTTAAATTAGTATAAAATAAAAATCAAAATTATTTAAAATAGAAAAATTAAATAAATATTAAGCTGCTTCAAAAAATTAATATTTTCCTTGTAATTTTTTCTGTTTTTTTTTTTGTAGTATTTATTTTTTTTTTTTGTGTTGATTTTTTTTTTTTTTCAATCATCTTTTTTTTTTTTTGTTCTGTATATTATCTGTAATTCTGGTATATCTGGCTTTTTATTCTTGATACTTCTTAAGTTATATATGAACGAGTAAACCAAAAAATGTTTTTAAGGACCACTGATAAAACATATTTGGCGGTATCTGAAACTTGATTATAAATAAAAAATTAAAATTTTTCCACTTTTCTAAAAATTTTCTAAAATTTTTAGTTTATAAAAATTTTATAATATAAAATAAAAATATTAAAATTTAATATATTTTAAATATTAAAAATGGTTGACAAAGATTAATTAAGGCAATATTGTTTATTTTAAAATTTTTGTTTGTTTTTCCTCATTATAGCTCTTAATTGTAATTATATTTTCCTCTTTTGTTTGGAGTGTTTAAATTATGTTGTATATATGCTTTTATCAATTTTTTATATTTGTTTATAAATCTCTAAGATTTATCTTTCAAATTAATTCTTTTTAATTTATTTATTTTTTAGTTTTATGATTATATATTTTATTAGCTTTATTATACCCAATTCCTAATTCCTAATTTTAATATATTTTCAGTTTTTTATTCATCATTGTTGTACGTTTTCAATTTCTTGAAGAAATAGTTAACACAAAGTTCATAAATAATCACAAATTCGTTTATTACTTATTTTATTATTAGTTTACTTTTTTCTAATTTCCTTTAATAAAATATAGTATAATGTAGTATAATATAATATAATATAATATAATATAATATAATATAATATAATATAATATAATAATATATAATATAATATATAATATTATAATAATATATAATATAATATATAATATTATAATAATATATAATATAATATATAATATTATAATAATATATAATATAATATATAATATTATAATAATATATAATATAATATATAATATTATAATAATATATAATATAATATATAATATTATAATAATATATAATATAATATATAATATTATAATAATATATAATATAATATATAATATTATAATAATATATAATATAATATATAATATTATAATAATATATAATATAATATATAATATTATAATAATATATAATATAATATA